TCGATGACTGTGAAAACAGTGACCATGGGAGCAGGCACTGGCCTCTGCTGGGTAGGTGGGGGACAGTAAACCCATTGCTCACCCAACACTGACTAAGCCAACTATCCCACTCTACCAATAAACACTCAGCATCCATTGGCTCCTCCCTCATTCTACTTTGGTGGAAAAGAGACTCTATTAGAACTGAGCACAAGCCTCACCACCTTGACCATTACTAAGGAGACTGAGGCTGAACCTGCCCTCCCAGAGAGAAGAAGTCTCAGGTGGAAGCATGAAGTAGTGAATTTTAGATGCAGGCAACAGAATTTGCCTGCATCTAAAAAGTTTATCCCAGAGAACAGGGATAAACTTTGACTCACAGCACCCGATTTCAGATGCCAGTTCGGTCACGCTCTGGCTATGCAATCTCGGGCAAATAACTCCATATCTCTAGCTTCCTCTCACTTTCCAAAAATTGTTGATTATCCGTTTTGAATGAGTAGAAGTGCCAAGTGCTCAGCACGTCAACAAGGAGTTCTCCAATCTTGGTTCTCCTGATAGATGATGTCTTTGCTATGGAGGTCATGAGAGAACTTCATTTATACTTGGTGATCCTGCCTCCCTCACCACACCATCCTGAGTGCCAAATGGGATGACAGGTAGAATGTCTTTTCAAGGGAACATTGTAATAAACCCCTGATTTCTCAAATATCAGGTCTAGAATTGCTATGACAATTGGTGCCCATCTAGAGGTTTGCAGCAGATTCTCTTGGAGCACATTAAAATAACAAAACAAGCCAGAAATGGTTGCATACACCTGTAATTCCAGTGACTCAAGAGGCTAAAGCAGGAACATCACAAGTTGGAGGTTAGCCTGGACAACTTAGTGAGACCCTGTCTCAAGAAAAGAAAAAAAGGGGGGAGGGGAGACTAAGAATGTAGCTTAGTGGTAAAGTGCCCCCTGGCTTTAAGCCCCAGTACGTGGCTGGGCCTCACCCATACTAGGCAAGCATTCTATCACTGATATACATCCCCAGGCTTATTTTTATTTTACTTTTAAATAGGATCTCAATAAATTCCGAGGCTGGCCTCAAACTTGTGATCCTCTTCTTGCCTGAGGCCCCTGAGTAGCTGGGATTACAATTACAGGCTTACACCACTGCATCCAGCTAAAAGTATTCTTGAAAAGAATAACATTTACACTAAAGTTCTCCATCCCCTGGAGGAAAGGAAGAAGCCCTTCAACAGGCCCAGATTCTATTCTAAGACCATCATATTTTCATGAAAATGTTTCAAAGCATTGCCTTCAGAGACCACTCGCACCAGGAAGACAAGATCAGTTTGGGGTCTCGGACTTCCTTCAGTAGTTGTTTGAGGCCCAGGTCTTCTTAGAGAATGATTTTATGCTGTTCAATCTTTGAAACACTTCAATGTTGAGATGTGCTTCTCTGAAAACTGCTAGCAATTGTCAATGTCTATGTCCTCCTTGCCCAGAGCTTACCCTGCAGCTGGCACTGGGGTAGGGAAATATGGGCTCTCTGGTACCAGGGACACCTGCCTGTGTTTCAGAGAAGTGCATCTTTTTTGTCAGTTTTTACTTCACTATTTGACTATTTCCTCTTTTTCTTGTGTTTATTTCTTCAGATGATCTTTCTGGTTCCTTCTTTTTGTGCACATTTAGTTCCTTTTTTTTCCTTTTTCTTTATAGATCTAAGGCCTTCTCCACTGCTCACTCCAGCCCTATGCTTCCTATCATCCCTGATCTATGAATCTCTACTCCTGGCTTGACTTCTTAAAGCCGCTGCCACCTCCTCCTCCTCTTCCTTCTCCTTCTTTTTGTACCAGGGATTGAACTCAGGGGCAGTCAACCACTGAGCTACATCCCCAGCCCCTTTTTGTAATTTATTTAGAGACAGGGTCTCACTGAGTTGCTTAACACCTTGCTTTTTTGCTGAGGCTGGCTTTGAACTCATGATCCTCTTGCCTCAGCCTCTGGGACTGCTGGGATTACAGGTATGTGCCACTATGTCCTGGCTCTTGAAGGCTTCTTAGGTGATTCCCTAAGTAAAGCCTGTTTCCAGGCAAATTTGTTGTGCACACAACTAAAGGTTGTCAAGAACTTCCCTAATTCCAGTGGATGGCCAAAATAGCCTTCTTGACTCAGATGTGATTTTTCTGGAAATGTTTCATGAACTTCTGCAAGTTGGCCAACTTTACTGTTTTGGCCTTCTATTCACTTGGCAATAGTCTAAGTGCTTGCATTTCTGTATAGATGCTTTGAAACTTTGGCTCGATTCATCGGTGATTCACTTGACATCTTCAAAAAAGTGGAGCTCCAAGAATAAAATGGTAATATGTGAGGACTTCTGGTTTCTGATTCTCCATGTAAGGAGTTTGGAAGCTGTCCTTCAGCAAATGAATGGACAAATAAACTGTGGTGCATGGAGATGACAGAATATTGTTCAGTGCTAGAAAGAAATAAGCTATGAAGCCATGAACAGGAGGAAACTTAAATGCATATTTCTAAGTGAGAGAAAACAATATGAAAAGGCTACATATTGGCATGATTCAACTCTTTGACATTCTAGAAAAGGAAAAATAGACAGTAAAAATATCAGCAATTGCCAGAGGTTAGGAAGAAGAGAGGAATGAAAAGACAGAGCAAAGATTTTTTTTAAGACAGTGAAAGTGCTATGTGCTTGGTAGGTCTCTTGAG